TTTTATCTCTGGAAAATGTTTTTACAGCGTTGTAGCAAGAATAGAAGATTTGTGTTTCACACGCACGTATTTTACAGGACAAAGCTCTTTCCTTGAATTATAAGTAACTATTCAATAACTTGAGTCTTGACTATTCCAAAGTTGTAGTTATTTTGTGAAAAGACCGCTTCATTTTAGTGTATAAGGAAATAGTTTCTTTCTTATACAATTCCAACACAAAAAACTTAAATCTCTGGGAAACGTAGATCAAATGGATAACAGAAATTGGCACGATAACGCGCGACGTGCAAACACAACTACAATTTTTTTGCTACGGCGCTGTGAAAATTTTTTCTGAAAACCAAGTTGATTTTTAGGCTCTCTGAGATTTGCGCTATATATTGGTTAAGAGTAGGTAAGGAACAAGCTGTGTCTAGCAAAATTCAAGCGCAATAATAATAAAGGCGCACGGCCCGTGGGAAACATAATCCTATTTTAAACGTTACAGGACTGTAAAAAGGCACATATTTCTGAAAAACAAGTCCATTTTTCAAACTCTCCGAAATTTATGCCATTCAATGGTTAATAACAGTGTTGGGAAAAACTTTTTTCAGCAAATTATAAGCATGATATCAATGTAAGCGCTTGTGAAACTGATTTTTTTAATGCTACAGAGCTGTGATGAAGTTCTCAAAAAAACACATCTAGTAGTTTCCGAATATTCAAGTTTTTGAATGATTACTGGAAGTCTAATGTAAAGTCTTCATCCAACATACGAGGTCCCGTCACAAATTTGTGCTGGGTAATCGAAAAGAACCTTATAATAATTTTTGGAGCACAAAAACATTGTTCAGATACATGGCCGCGTTCCGAGAAGTCATTGTGCCTGTCATCGACTGTCGTTTATCCCACTGTATGGTAATTACCCGTGCCCGTTAATTCCATGAGTCATCGAGTGGTTTGAGCGGCAACTAGTAAAATCATCAATCGATGTTCCGATTGATCCTGAATGCATCACACCGAGATCCGCTCCCATGCGTAGACGTGAAAATCACCACATTTTTTTGCGTTAACTTTTATTTCTGTTGTTATTGATCAAACAGGTAGCTTTTCGGACCCATCTAAATTTGTGTTGGTTATTCTCCTTCGAACATGGAGATTAGTTCTTCGAAGCGACTTCAAATCAGCTCTCATGCACTTCTCTGTCTCTTCCTATTGCAGACAATTGAGGAACTCGATGTGCCAGGTTTGAGGGCAAGCACATGGTCGCTTCGTGTCGCTCAGGATTCATTGTAACGTTAGGGCGAAGCCACCAACACAGTCGACTTGTCAGTTAGAATGCGATAAAATTTTACATTTACGCTCTGTTAGAACAAGTAGGGAGCTCGGCCAAGGATCCACCGCCGAAATCCATGCTTTGGAAACGACATCGTGAAGACCTGAGAACGCCCTTGCAATGTTACGTCAGGAAACCAAGGAATATCGTAAGCACATCCAGCAATAGGACGGGTTTGGAATATGTGCTGGGGTTCGCTAAACTAGTGAGAATGGACTATCTAAGTCTAAGCCTGAGTTATGCTCTGTTACAATAATATGTCTAAGGTGTAGTATTCCAATCTTCTCGTTGATGTTGGCTATGCGTTCTTCTTTGAAATGGTATGCAAGTTTTACATCATCTTGCTGGCTTCTTCGTAGTCTTTCCGATGTTCAATTATCATTCAATCTATTCTTAGAAAGCATTTACCCTGTTTTTAGGCAGAAAACTATTCGTCGGACTTTTTTCCTAGTAATGAATCCTCGGTGTTCGGCGTCTTTATTAACTTTGATGTTGGCTGTATAATACCACAAGTTTTGCTTCTTATCCAAGTCATCTGAAGTTTTTTTCATTTTTGGAAATTTGCATTATTCTATTTATTTACTACTTTTGAAAATAAAAATCTAAAATCAAAATGTAAAATGAGACGAAAAATCACCAATGATAAAAGGATAAAGCTTTCGGCGTTGATCAATGCCTGAGGGATGCGCCATGCATTCGACTTCAATTTTTTATTTCTTTTGAGGTGATTAAATGCATATCTGGCCTCTACAATGACTCGCGGTGGCCTCCCGCTGAACCGAGTCAGTGCTGCTTATCCTCCTAGACAAGCCTGAGACCAGTCTGGTACCAATTTACCGGCCCCGGAGGGATGGATGGCTCGGTGGGCCATGAGCGCGACATCGAACCATTGACTTCGTGTGCACGCAAAGCACCTCTAACCACTGCGCCACATGCGCTCTCTCACCAATGATGTGATATTAAAATTAGGCAACGAATAGAAGCTAGAAGTTGTTAGTACTACTTTTATTATTTTTACGAGCCGTTATCACAGTTTTTTTATCGTGCGGATATCGGTACTTCTACCATTCAAGTCGTTTTTCGTCTTGCTTTCTTGAACGGCGTAGAATACTGGTTTAGCGAGTCTCCTTGCTATCTCGAGGATAGTCTGGCTGTTGCGCTCCATAGGGCGTTCTTGTTGACTGTTGGAGAGTGTGAGGAGGGGGGGGGGGGGGGGGGACGAGCTGGGTATCACTCGCGCCTCGACGAGCATCACAACCACTCGGCTATGCGCCCCCAGTACTATTGTAGCCACTAGAATTAAGGAAAAATTCGAAATGATCTCTTGACCGTCCCCTTTGTTTATGTTTGATGTGTGTTTTGGCTGACCGTTTACATCGCATCAACATTATTTAGTATGTTTAGAATATTCAAAATAGTGTCAAAGTGGAAAGTCAATGCATTGAAATCAATGCATAATAACCGGCCTAACTTGTCGATATCTGAACCGATTCTTAGGAAACGGCATATTGAGATCGAGCGCGAATATGGGGAAAACATGGACCAATGCTAATTTCTAAGTAGGTCCTTTAAACAGGGCATACGGTAGCGAACTTTGCGTGCTCTCTGGTGGTTCTGAAAGTCTTATCAGGCAAGGAAGCGAGGTGGGCTTCCTATTCGCTGAAGCGAAGACTGGCTCCATTAGTCATTGATCTGATTTGATCTGCTTTGATCCAGTTTGACCTGTTGATCTTCGAGCATCTAAAATGACCAGTCCATGTGATAGTCTTTCTGTCTTCGATGAATGTAAGTCTCCCTTGAATTCTTGTTGAGCTTTTCTCTACTTACTATCGCAGTGAGCGTATTCTTCTAGGCGTCAGTTCAAGCCGAAAATATCTCTAAGTGTTTTTTCTTGAGGTTACAAGAGTTGTTTTTTGAAATTTTAATATGCCTGATAGACATTTTTTGAGCCAACGCATGTCACTGGTCTATCAAAGAGGGCTGACTTATAGAGCCCGATACACGTGTTTCGATCTTGCGATCTCGTCAGTCGGGCAGTTACCCTTCCTCGTCTTCTGCTAATCTCTGTGGGTGCTCAGTCCCCACACTAAGAGTTGTTGATGTTTATTGTTGTTTGCTGACTTGGCCATCGTTTCTATTGGTTTTCTTTAGTTGTTCTTTGTGTTATGAAACATTCGTGCGAATGTTTATAAACGTTCGTTGATGACGATGATGTTGGCAATCAAAGCTTTACTTTTGACTGTTTATAGAGACCTCGCTCTAAAACATCTGATAGCATGTTTTGGGTCTTTTGTGGGATCTGATATGGCAGTTATATAGTAGTAGACAGCTGTTTTGCCTTTACTTGCTCAACAGTTTCAGGAGGCCTTTCGGTTCTGCCGATCCTTTTCGGAGGATGATATCACTATTTATAGAGGAGTCGACGCCGAATTGATTCGATCACCGTATGTCGAGTGACAAAACCCCCCGACGCTGAAGTGATGACGATCGAACTCTATCATTCTACTAGCCATAAGTTTGGATTTAGTCACGCAACACACGATGATCTGAATGATTCGGCGTCCATTCCTTCTTAAGCAGAGGCTCTATCCCTGCAAGGATCAGCCGGATGGAAAGACATTTTATTGCTAAGGAACCTACAAGGAGAAACAGCTGTCAAGTACTGCATAAGTGCCATACCAGCCTCATAAAAGGCTCAAATCATGTTGCAGATGAAGAGGAAACAAATGAAAAGCCGATCTCATACGCTGGAAAGGGACTTCTCATAAGAGTGCTAGTAACCATTCGAAAGGTGAGACTTAAAACTACCGCACCACGTCTTCAGTTTTACAGAACACCCTTTTATAACTTTGTAGCATCCACATCAAAAAATATGTCTCGCTCTCGCATTTTACCTTCATTTTTATCACGTGTGTTAGTCGCTGGAAGCCGAAAAGCATTTCAGTGTGCAGAGAAATTTTCGTAGTATCTTAACCAATCGTTTTATTTGGAGTTTTTTCCGAAGCGGAGGAAAAGTTCCCAATTGAATAAAATTATATGGCGATCGTCCCGCTCATACTACGCCTCTTGCCACGGTCCTTACCTTGTCGAATAGCTTGTAAACAACGTTATCAAAAATGTAAAATTCGACCTTGTTTCCCTGCTCAGCCGTATTTCCAGAAAACAAGCAGATCGCTAGACTTAGAAAACATTTCCCTATCATATGATTCCAACAGTCTACAGAAAGAGCTCTGACCGGCGGAGTTTAAAGCACGATCAAAGAGAAGGGGAGATCAAAAGGTCATAAGAGCTTTTGAAAAGCAAACACACGTTTTGAGTTATTGGAGGCTTGTGCTATAGTATGAGTACTAGCATTCTAAAGAAGGAGTTCTGTCCAGCGAAATATATGCGAGATGAGGGAAAAAACATGTTTCTATAAAACATTATTTGATTTTGAATATTACAGCGTCATAAAGAAATGTTTTGAAAAACTGGCGACGTGGGGCTGTAGCCACAAGTCTCAGCTTTCGAATGGTTACTAATACTCCTATGAAAAGTTTCTTTCCACCGAATGAGATCGATTTTTCACTCGTTTTCTCCTCATTACAAGGAACCTATGTTATCAGATTACCAGACGCTGACACTAATTTTATGTATTTTTGTTGCTGAATAAACCCAATGATGGAGAGTGGTGTGCAAAAACGTTTGCGTCAGCCGTAATTCGAACCCAGATCTTACTCTTTCCGGGAGCATGTGCTAAGCCTGCACCACCGACGCTCGGTTTTACACTCCACTCTTTCTACGCTACAATGCGTTATCTGTTAACAGCCAACCGTCTACGGTGTGGCGGGGCAGTCATTATCGACATTTAACCCACTTTTTTGTGGACAGATATTGGGTTTCAATAACTAATCGTAAATCATTTTATTTGACCGTCTCTTGCGGTGTCACGATGTTTTCAAATAAACCCAATGATGTAGAGTGGTGTACAAAAACGTTTGCGTCAGCCGGGATTTGAACCCAGATCCTATCTTTCTGGAGTGGAGTGCAAAACGAGCGTCGGTGGCGCAACGGTTTAGCACAAGCTTCCGGAAAGAGTAAGATCTGGGTTCGATTCCCGGCTGACGCAAACGTTTTTGCACACCACTCTACATCATTGGGTTTATTTAAAAACATCATAACACCGCAATAGGCGGTCAAATAAAAATGATTTACGATGTTTTTGTTGCTCCCTTCATAATAATCTACCCACTATCACCTGTGACTGGTGTTGCCCCATGACAAAATGGTCTTCAAACCCCATGGAAACTGAGGAGTGTAAAGCATAGAGCCGACGGCTGCTCGTTCACAGCGGTCGCCCTCTAATCCCATAGCAGGCAGTCGACTGCGTCATCATCGCCTCCTCCGTCCGTCCGACCCGTCGTCACCTCCCATCGAACAGCGGGGATCATCGGGCCAATGCTCGACATGAACAAGTCACTATCGTCATCGCAATCGATTGAATGATTACTCATTGGATGAGGTTTGTTGGCCCCCTCTTCTGGTCGAAAACCATGCAAAGAGGTTGGTGTTGTTGACTGAAAGTTCCGAAAGCAGATTTTGATCTTTTGATCTTCGGACTGTCTATTGTTGATCTACGTTTTCGATAATGTGTTGCGTATGGGAAGGTTTTGAAGGTTGATCTAGAAATCAATAACCTCTTCAGATTCTCAACCATCCGTGATTCTGGGTTATGAGTTTGAGCTGAATTCTTACGACTTAGGTCCGATAAATTTCGTTTTTGTCTTTGGTGGGAACGGTTCTTTGAGCAGAATTCTTCTTAATTAAACGCCTTAGCTATGGCATGATGTTATAGATGTACCTAATGATGTAAAGTGTTGTGCAAAACTTTTGCTTCAGGCGAGACTCGAACTCGCATTTCACCCTATCCGAGAGCTCGTGCTCAAACTCGTTGCACTACCGACGCTTATTTTGACACCACAATACCCAATATCTGTCAGCGTGATCGGGTTCGGTGTAAATATCGCCCATCCTAGGCCAAACCACCAGCGGTTGGTTGCTGAGAACTAGATGCGATGTAGCGTAAGGGTGGTGTCAAAACAGGCGTCGGCAGTGAGTGCGACGGGTTAGAATACGCGCCCGCGGACCGGATAGAGTGAAAGTCGAGTTCGAGTCTCACCGGACGCAGAAGTTTTGCATCGCACTCTACATCATTTGGTTCTTTAAATCCTACCGATTTTGATCTGATTCATCATAGTGGCTTTAGGTTCTTTCTGACTATGAGAGGACAAATGAAAAACCGATCTCATTCGCTGGAACGGAGCTTTTCCAGGACTGTCAGTGACCATTCGAAAGCTAAGATTCTGGCTATAGCCAAACGTCGCCGGTCGTAACACTCTTTTCAGTGCTGTAAAATTCAAAATGAAACTAGCCTCAGACGCGCATATGTCTGTCCGAACAGAGCTCTTTTGGGCGTGCTGCGTCGCAGCGAAACGGTCATTTCAGGCTATAAGCATGAAAATTAGAATCAGCAATAACTACGTTATCGATAGATTACTACTTCTCCAAAGAGAGAGTTCTGTCTGGCGAGAAATATGTGCGTCTGCTACGCAAGGAATCTTTCTGCAACAACGTCAAAAAGAAAAGGCTTTTTCGAAAACCGGCGACGTGGGGCCTCAAGTCTCAGCTTCCGAATGATTTCTCACACTCCTATGAAAGTTCCTCTCCAGCGAATGAGGTCGGTTTTTCTTCTGTGCCCTCATAATCAGAAAGAACTTGGCTTTTCTTTATTTTAATCGTAGAGGAGAAGAATTCTTTTTTAATCCTTTTACTTCATACTAACTGCGATATTAAATCGATTAGATGGATTTTGGACATTTGAACTTTGATAAAAGTTTGTCTCTTCTGTTGCAATATTCCATAAACTATTGACACTTTGCTTTCTATGGAACAAAAAATGGCTAACGTGTGGAGAACAAGGATGGTTAGTTTTGACTTGGATGGAGTTTTACTTACACGTCTGTCTATGTGAATGTTTATCGATGCACTTTAGATAATCATTGATCTCCCAATACGATACTTTGCTGCAAGTCGGCCTTATATCTCTTGAGTCTTTTCTGGAAATCTAGTGAACTAAATGTGCTTTAATGTTTGCATCGAGATCAAAACATTAGCTTCCTCGTTATGAACATGCAGTGCGGTAGAGAACTGAGAAGTTTGTTATAGAAACTTGGTTTTTTTTTCAAAGCCTTCGACTGTAAAACTGCTGAGATCGAACGCATCGATCACGTTTCACTACGTTTTGATCTACGCAATGGCTGATCAGAAGTGTTGCACACAGTGATGTGTCCTCTTCTATGTCTTCGAGTTTCTCACTGTTCATTCATGACGTGGTTGTCTTTTTATCTCTTCATCTCTCTCTCCTCCCTCTCCTTCTCTCTCTCTCTCTCCCTCTCCATCTCTACTTCCCTCTCTCTCCCTCTCTCCCTCCCTCTTCCTTTCTCTTTCTCTCGCTCTCCTAGGTGAACACCCTTTATTTTACACTTCGTAGCTTGATCGACTGTAACATATCAAAAAAGAAAACGGAATTTACGCTATTAAAAATTAATTCATAAGCCATAAATTTTTTCATCTGACCCATTCCATTCATTGTAAATCGATTTGGCCTGGTTCTTCTCGTTCAAAGAGTTAAGTAGCAAAATGTGGGCTAATTTCATTTCTCATCTTCACTCGGTCCCATTAGTTGTATGGCGCCGAATTGATGACGTCATGCAAATGATATGCCTATTTGTGAACTACTCAGAGTGGATACCCACCTGATTAACAATACCACCGATTTTCTCAGCAATGGTTTCATTCGACTGCATCATATGTCGTAATCACTTTTTATAGCCACTTAGTCTGTAAACGTTCTTAAGTCTTGTTCATTGCGGTACTGAATGTATGTGATTGTGTATTGCGAAAATTGAAGGGAAACGTTCAATGTCTAATTTGTATTTTGTGATTTTTCACTCCTCTATTATTCCTTCAGTCTTTTATTCTGAAAAGAAAAAAAAAACTTCCTTTGGAGAACTTCTATTATAAGGCTTTCATAGTGTTTCGTAATTTTTCGGCTTCAGAGTGATTCTAAATTGTTGGCTGCTTACTACTCAGTCACCGTGTGGGTTTTTTGCTTTTGTCGTTAAGATTATTATTATATAGAAGAAAAACTGCAGGACTTATACTTCTGTGAGCTCACGAGTGTCTGTTAGGACAAAGAAGAATTGTTGTCATCTGTCAATATTTACTAATAAACTCGTTCGTAGTACGTTTTTTAGAAGTGAATCTTTCAGTGAGATGGCTCTTGATGACCAAGTTACGGCGTTCTTTTTTCTTCGAAAGCTGTTTTTTTTTTGACATGTTATGACACATTATCGAGAGTATCTTCCGGTATATATTGGTGAATCCGTGTTATTTGGTATAGTCATACTATCTGATCTAGTTCTGCTGTGTTTAGTCTTTTCATAGGTTTCTTTGTAAGTGTTTGTGGAGCGTGATTATTTTATTGTCTCTGTTTATCCCTTTGGTGATCATGACGGTCTTTTTGATGCTCAGCGCCCTATGTCAAATCTCACTCCCTATTGTAATGGCGAAGTCGCATCTCGTGGGAAAGCAGGCAGACAGCCAGACATGCGTGCGCAGGCATGCAGATAGCGGCTGCCTGACTGCCGCACAAGCGACGCCACGACGCCGTTTGTCTATCAACGCTGGTTCTCGAAGGATCAATAGAAAGAAGTGACAGATTAGACTTTTAATGGTCACTAAGGATGAATATCATTCAACGATGTATCTGTTGCATACCTTCAGGAATTATCTTGACGTTCTAGTACAAACTTTCAGTCTGTTCACTGCCGAATGCTCAAGATGACTAAAATTGAATAGTCTCCTGGAAAACAGTTATGAATTTTTTCTCTTTGAATGATCTTTTATTTGCGCGAATGGGTTCTATAAATTTTTATAGCGCTGTAGGCTCATGTCTAAAATCACTGCTTATTTTCTTTTTTTGACTATCAATCTAACGTATTTTTGAAGTTTTTGATTACATGAAAAAGGTTAGAAACTAGAATTTTCCAACAACTTCTCATCACTATGTGTGGCAGATTGAAAAGGACCAGCCGTTGTACTGGTAATTTTGATTTGATATCAACGAGTTACTAAGAAAGTTGTCATTTCAATTTTTGGATAATTTCCATTATCCACACCCTGTTTTGGCCCCTTCCACATTTTCTGCTTTCTTCAAGAATTTGTACTCATTCGATAGCTTAAATCTCGAGAATTTAGATGGTCTAATCGACTTTTGGAAAGACTTCCTAATGCGCGGCAGCAAAAGAAAGTGAATGATGTTTTACACTCGGACAGTTTTCTCTGGACAAAGCTTTTTCTCTATACTTCCAGTAATCATTCAAAGCTTATATTTCGAAGATTTCAATAGTGTGCTTGGTCTTTTGAGAGGATTTTTTTAATGCGCTGTGACAGCCAAAAGAAGATTACGTTTCGCAGTCAGCGCTCAATTCTTGTCAGCGGCTAAGGTGTGTGAGTAGCTGTAATATCGATCGCTCTATTGATTGGTCGCGCAGCGCGATTCACATGTGGAGTACGACCTTTGTTACTAAATTTGGGGTTTTTGCTCCTCCTTGTAAAGACTCTAAATAGAACATACGACTCTATACATCAGATGTCCTCTATACGCTCATATGCTTCTCGTATTAGGTTTGGACTTCTATTTAGACTTATTTGCG